TTCCTGGGCTCTTAGAGAACAGACCCACTGCTGTCTCTCTGTAGGGAGTGCTGTCTCTCTGTAGGGAGGCAGAAGGGGCCACACTGTGTGTGTGTGTGTGCGCGCACGTGCGTGTACGTGTGTGTGCGTGCACACACACGCCTGTACTGGGGCTCAGTACCAGTGCTGGAATTTAGGGCCTTATGCCCTGGATTAGTCTGGTGCTCTACCTCTTGCGCTCCCCCCCCCCCCCCCCCCCCCCCGCAGCTTTTTGCTGGTTAACTTGGATTTGTCTCTCTGGGCTGGCTTCCAACCAGGATCCTCAGATCTCAGTCTCTTGAGTAGCTGGGCCTTACAAGGGGGAGTGGCTGGGGCTCGGCTCTTCTCCCCACATTGACACAGAAACAGAAGTAGCCGCGCAGCGTCTGTGTGGACTCCAGGTCCTGCTGAGCTGCTCCTAGTCCGCCAACAGAGCAGGGTCATTTTCAGCTAGGGTTCAACCTGGGGGAACAGTGTTCTGTGTCTTTTCTTCCAGATGTCTTTTACAGGGGCAAAGTTTCCAAAGAACCTTTTAAAATGAACTCATAAAGAATCAAACATATGAGCATTGCAAACTGGAAACCACGAGCCAGAGGTCCATTCTTGAGAACGCTCCTGTCTTGGTTTCTGTACAGGCCGAGCTCTTGGGCTAACAAATCCCCACAAACATATCTAGATCCAATTTGTGTTTCACCCTTTGCTTTCCTCAGGGTGGGGGTGGGTCAGCCCAACCCCCTTCCCGGTTGTCTGCTATGAGGTAGCTGCATTGGCCTCTGTAGGCAGCGGTGGCTGTACCCGTATTGTGACTTGGTGACCACATGGGGGGCAAAAGCAGAACAGCACAGCTGCAGGGCTGTGCTGGAGGACACGGCTCTCGTGCCAGCGTCTCCTTGCTGTCCATCTGGAAAGCCTCAGTGGGTTGTGGTGAAGATGAAATGTGGGTGTGTTGTCACAGAACAAGGGTATTGGCATGGAGTAAGTGCTCAGCAAATGCCAAGTTCCCTGTTCTCACACCGGTGCAGTGGCTGATGCCTGTATTCAAGAGTTAAAGATGGGCAAGCTCAAGATGGGAGGCCAGCCCGGGAAAAAGTTAGTGGAACCCCAGCTCAGCATCTGGGTGGTGGTGATGCCTGTCACCCCAGCTACGGCAGGAAGGATCAACAAGAGGTTCACGGTCCGGGCTAGCCTGGCTGGAAAGCGAGCCCATCTCAAAAATAACCAGCGCATAAAGGGCTGGAATGATCTTGTCAAGTGGTAGAGCACCTGCTTAGCAGGTAGGAGGCCTTGAGTGTGGGGTGGGGTGGGGGCTCCCGGCTCTCCTAGATGCAGAGAGGCTACTAGATGCGTTAGGCATCAAGTTTTCCATGAGGATCCAGGAACAGTCACTATTCTTAGTAAAGGCCCATCAGATCCATACAGAATGCCACTGATAAATTGTTCAGTGATTGTAGCCACTACAAAGCATGGAGGGATTGAAACACGGCCCGAGTGATGTTTCAGGTAAAACTCTCAAAGCACCCTGGGAGTGGCCCTTCTCTTTGGGGGAGCCCTGCCTGCTCTGCTCCCATGCTCCCATTCCTCCCCCTCCCCCCCGCGCCCAGCTGGACTACTGCTCAGCTGCAGAACGTACGGAAGCCCGTAGCGCGTCACTCTGCACCTTGGAAAGAAGATTTGAGTCACTCTGCACCTTGGAAGGATTTGCTACTGAACAATCTCTGCTAACATTCGCTTTTTGGAAGTTAATCCTACCACGAGTGTTTAAACTGAATTCTGTTTTTCTAAAATGGCAAGATACGTTATTTTTGCAGTCTCGGTATTTTAACACTGCATGGTTAGGTGTGATTTCTGACGTCGCAGCAAGGCGAAGCTGTAATCTCACCAGATGCAGTTTAACATATGGTGCATTTTGTCAGATCTTATTTTATGCGGTGTGCATAGGCCCAGTATAGATCCCACAGCCTATTAGTTTGCAGGATTGCAAAACTGCATCACTTGACCTTGCGCAAATCCCAGGACATTTGCAATGTGCATTTTAGTATCATGGGCATTTTAGCAGTTAGGTAGGGAGCTGGATCTAGGGCGCCAGGGTCAGAGTGTGGTTCCACCCACTTCCCCCTGAGCTCAGCCATCCCTCTGTGCAGACCCTGGGGACAGCTGCAGTCAACATCACTCCTGCGAGATGCAGACGCGGCTCAAGTTCTCACACATTGGTATCTCAGGGAAAGCTCCTAAGAAGCATGCGTGGCAAGGCCCCAGGGACTCTGGTTTCTCTAGTTTAGACATATTTCCAAGAAAAAGCTCTCGGGAAAAGCCAAAGTGAGGTGAGGGCCCAGAACCATGTATAACGAGAGGGAGGTGAGAGGATACTGCTTATACCCCACATGTCCTCGCTCTGTTCTTGTCCCAGAAGGGAAAGAGCGCCACTTGTTGGCCACTCTGTTCCATGCACCCTCGTCTTTCAGGATGAGTCGGCCTGACAGAGGCTCTTCAAAGACTACTGGCTTGGTCTACATCTGAACCTGGCATACAGTTTGAAAAATCAATTCGTACCTCGATGAGTGTCTTAAGAACGACAACTTTTTTATTCTTTAAGATTTATCCAGAAATGTAGGTCTTCTGGCAGGCACTACCGGAAATATGTGCATGATTGCATTTAAAAAGTAAAAACAAAATTTTCATGTCCAGGGAGGGTCAACAGCACTTACCAGCACTCTGAGCTAGGAGTAACCTGCGTTACAGCACGTGTGCAAGGTATCTAGTGCAGCTCACTACCTGGCACTTGTAGCACTAACTGTACATGGACACTCGTGTCAAAATCAGAGCGGCTGGACTTGAGGAGCTGGAGTTCTGCTGCCCCCACTGCCAGGACCCTTCGAGTCAGGCGCTGTCTCGATGGGCCCTGCGATCCCCTGCACCTCGGCTTCCTTGTGTGGTTTTCCCTTGGGCTGCACTTCTTCTAGAACCTTATTACCGTCCATTGCTGAGGCCTTCACAGGCAGCTGGTTCCAAGGCCAGCTTCTGTCTGTGAGACTGTGTCACCTGGTCCTTTGCACTCACCTGAGCACTGTCGTGAGGCTGCCTTCGGCTGTACTCTGTGTTTCTAACCTCGTCTTCTCCCGTTGGGCAGGATCTGCCCTCTCCTTCTTTGGAGACACAGCAGTTGACAGTGGGGGTCTACTGCATTGCAAGCACAGGGTCAGTGCTGAGTTTTAATCTGTGAATGTTGAGATTTGAACTCAGGTCTGGGTACTGTGCCTTAGCTCAAAGATAATGCTCTACCCTCCCTCCCTTCCCTCCTTCCCTTCCTTCCTTCCTTTCCTTCCCTTCCTTCCCTTCCTTTTTTCCTTCCTTTCTTCCTTCCTTCTTTCCTTTCTTTCCTTCCTTTCTCTCCCCTTTGTCCCTCCTCCCTCCCTCCCTCTTTCTCTCTTTCTTTCTTCCTTCCTTTCTTTCTTTCTTGTTAATTAGATATGAGTCTCATGGAGTTTATGATTGGGGTGGCTTCAAACCTGTCCTCTGATCTCAGCCTTCTGAGTGGCCAGGATTACAGGGGTGAGCCACTCCCACCCAGCTCAAGTTTTAATCTTTTTTTTTTTCTTTTTTGGTCGTGGGGCCTGAACTCTGGGCCTGGGCGCTGTCCCTCAGCTCTTCAGCTCAAGGCTAGCGCTCTACCACTTGAGCCACAGCGCCACTTCTGGTTTTCTGGTGAAGAATCTCACAGACTTTTCCCCGGGCTGGCTTTGCACTGTGATCCTCAGATCTCAGCCTTCACGTTTTCTTTCTTTTTTTTTTATGATTTTTTTTATTGTGAAAATACTGTACAGAGGAATTACAATTTCATGAGCAAGGTAATGAGGACATTTCTTATAGCCTTCACATTTTCTTCTTGATTGTGTTCTTCCATCATGTGGAGATCTGTGTTGGGGATCAGAATAGAGAGGGACAGCCGGCTAGAGTGGCCCATGTGTCTTTTCTGACATCTTTATCTTGTCAAGTGACAGTCTGCATAGAAAAGCATGTCAGGCCAAGATTGTTGACCAGTGTGGTCAGCTGTTTATATTCTGAAATATTCAAGCAATTGAAAAGAATTACGGTAGCAGTTGAGTCTCTTGACAGGTTTAGTGTTTTACCCCTGGTAGAGATGGACAGAGGTCAGGCTTGAGCATTTAAACTGCTGAAGGATACTTTGAGATTAGAAAACATATCAGCGAGTATTAATTGGGATTCCAGTACAAGAGGTGCCAAATGAACACGGAGCTGGGCCCGTGGGGCTGCCGTCAGAGGGACACGAGCCTGCCCCATAGGTGATGGGCCCGGCCTGGGGTGGATGGAAGGAGGGAGGAGGCCTGGGTGGATGGAAGGAGGGAGGAGACCTGGGGTGGATGGAAGGAGGGAGGAGACCTGGGGTGGATGGAAGGAGGGCTGGGTGGATGGAAGGAGATGAGGAGGCCTGGGTGGATGGAAGGAGGCCTGGGTGGATGGAAGGAGGCCTGGGTGGATGGAAGGAGGCCTGGGTGGATGGAAGGAGGCCTGGGTGGATGGAAGGAGGCCTGGGTGGATGGAAGGAGGCGCAGACGCAGTGGGAGACTTGGAGTCACAGCAGGAGGATTCCCAGGGCTCTCGGGCGACTGGGTCTCGCGTGCCCGGATGGAGAGGGGGCGCGTGTCCAGGTGCCCGGATGGAGAGGGGCGCGTGTCCAGGTGCCCGGATGGAGAGGGGCGCGTGTCCAGGGCTCCCGTGTCCGCCGGGGCGCCTGCTCCTCCCCGTCTGTCCCCGTCCTGGGCCCGCGCGCCCCGGCCCGGCCCGGCCCTTGCGCCCGCTCCGCGCCTGCTCCGACGCGGCCCCAGGTGACACGAGCGGGCACGCGGCACGGTCAGAGTCGAGGGCCGCCCCGGCCGCGCCCCGCGGCCGTGGATGCCGCCGGGCCGGGGCGGGCGACGCCGCGCCCGGTGCTGAGCGCCGCTTTCCCGCTTCCCCTCTCGCAGAGCGCCGAGCAGCTCGCCGCGCCGTGCGGGGGACCCCGCGACGGCCCCGCCCGGAGCGCAGCCATGGAGGCGCCCGGGGAGCGCGCCGACCCCGCGCCCCGGGCCCTGGCGCGACACCTGTCGGACGCCGACCGCCTGCGCAAGGTGATCCAGGAGCTGGTGGACACCGAGAAGTCCTACGTGAAGGTAGGCTGCGCGGGCCTGGGCGGGAGGCCGCGGGGAGGGAGGCCGCGGGGAGGGAGGCCACGGGGAGGGAGGCCGGTGGGAGGGGAGGCCGCGGGGAGGGGAGGCTGTGGGGTGGGGAGGGGAGGCCGCGGGGAGGGGAGGCCGCCGGGAGGGGAGGAGGGCGGGAGGATCCGGTTCCGCTCGGGCTCATTTTGTCTCAAGGCAGGGCCTGCCGTGGACGGACGTGTGCTCCCGTCCGGGGAGGCCCGCGTGGCGTGGGTAGGTGGGGAGAGGCCGCGTGACGTGAGGATCCTGGAGCAGCGTGAGCGCAGGCTGGGCCGCCTGCCGCGGGGCAGGCGCAGGCCGCCATGGGCGCACCCGATGGCCGCGTCCCCCAGGCCCCAGCCGCTCCCCGGCCGCCAGCCAGCGGGCCGGGAAGCGCGTTAGGGACACAGGACGTGGCATCTGGCGGCGGGGACGGCCCTGGCCCGGTGCCCTGAGCCTGGCCCTGCACGTCCCCCAGCGCCCGGCTCAGGCCGGCGGTCCCCACGCACGAGCCGTCACCTTCTCCCCCGGCCCCGGCCCCGGCCCCGGCCCCGGAGTGGCGTCTATCATGTGCGTCCTGGGCGCTACCAGCGGTCTTGCTCGCCTGCCCCTCCTTTTAGTCTGCAGGGGGAAGAGAAAGCTAAAGACAGGCCTTGCGCCCCGTCCTGCGCCGGCCTGGCGAGGCGAGGGGCCGCTGGGCTCGTGGCTGCCCTCCGGCTGCAGCCATGTCAGTGAACTCGGCCAGGACCAGCTAGTCGTGTGTCCAGGTAGACACGCCACTGGCCTCCGCCTCCGTTTGGGTTTGGGCTGCGCGCAGCCCCGGCCCGGCGCCACGCACTCTTGCTGTGCAATCCGTCTCTGAGGGGCTGGGCAGGAGTGACGAGGACCCAGCACCCCAGCACCCCTGCGCGCGGCGCCCACCCCGCCCCACCCACCCACAGACAGAATTGTCCTTGTGCTCCTGCTGCACAATAACCTGATCGCGCTTGCTCCTGAGAGCTGGTTGACATCTCTGAGCCCCGCCCCCAGCTCAGCAGGGACTTGGGGAGGCAAGAGGGGGGTGTTGGGGGGAGACCCCGACACAGGCCAGGGCTTGTTCTCAGATCACGAAGGAGGGTTCTGAGGGCGCTGGGCTTCCCTGGGCTATGCAGATCCTACGTTTCTCCCTCTTTTCCTGGGGGCAGCGGGCGGAGCTGGTGGTCGAGTGTGTCTCGCATTTCTTCAGAACGTGTGACACGTGGGAGGGAATTCTTTTCTCTCACTAAACATCTTCACTGGTGTTTTCCCAGCACTGCCAGCTCCCAGCATTCCAGGCTGCCGCAGCCTCTTTTCTAGGCTCTGAAATGGTGGAGCTGTAGAGCGTCAATAGCCAATACGAGGAGTTGGCCTTGCATTTCCTTCCCCTTCTGTGGTGTGTCAGCCTGGAGTGGAAGCGTCCCAGGGGTGCCCCCCCTTACTCCACACCAGAGCCATCAGTGTCCAGTGCTACAGAGGAGGCCGGGACACGGGTGGGTGGCCGTGGTAACCCCCGAGCGGACCCCTCCCCTGCAGGCAGAGGGCTGAGGGGCAGCGGGCTGGAGGACCCGCTGTGTCGGCAACGATCAGTCGAGCCAGCGGCGGACGGATGCAGAGAAAGGCGCAGGCTGCGGCAGGTGAACCTCGTTCATCTGTGAACTGGGTGAACTTGGCTGTAGGAAGCAAGAGTATCCACCGTGAGGGGCAAGCATGCCAACCAGACACATCACGGCTCCTGGCGGGCATTCTGGGAGCCGCTGCCAGGGCTCTGGAATGACAGGCGGGTATTTCGGGGAGCTGAGTGTTAACGACACTCCTTTGTCTTGCAGGATTTGAGCTGCCTCTTCGAGTTATACTTGGAGCCGCTTCAGAATGAGACTTTCCTTACCCAGGACGAGGTACACAACCGTGTCTGCTGTGGCTGCCTGGAGCGGTGCCTCCGGCCCTCCACGGCCTGTGCCATGCTGGACACTCAAAGTCCGGGCCAGGGGCCACAGCAGCAGGCAGAGCGCCGGCCTAGAAAGTCCCAGGCGCCACGTGGCCTCTGCCATACAAAGCGCAGGGCAGAGCCTGCGCAGGCTTTTTAGAAGGGAGTATGGCTTGGAGTTCCTTTCAGCACATGCGTTTTTAATATTACATCAGTGTTTTCTGTTGAAATACGGAAACATAGGCTGGAGCTTCGCAAGGGCTGTGTGAGACACCAAACCCCCTCCCCCCCTCCCAGCACGCGCTTCTGCTTTGCTGCGCTTTGGGAAGTGATGCTAATTGTGCTGGCCCGCAGGGAGCGGGCCCGGGTCCTGGCTCCCCAGTGACATGCTTCGCTCCTGCCCTTCTCTCAGATGGAGTCACTCTTCGGAAGCCTGCCTGAGATGCTGGAGTTTCAGAAGGTCTTTCTGGAGACTCTGGAGGACGGCATCTCAGCCTCCTCAGACTTCAATGTTCTGGAAACACCCTCTCAGTTTAGAGTAAGTGGTTCTGATGAGAGCAAAGAGGTGGATGCAGCCACACGGTCCCCCCTCCCCCCCCTCCCCGCGACAGTGCTGTCCTGTCAAGGCACATTTCTCCCGGCATGGGGGGGGGGGCTGCATCCCTGGGGCCAGCAGCTGGCAGCCCCCTCTGCGGCCACTTGGCTGTGGAGCACGCAGTGCCTTTCGTGCACCCTTGCAGAAGCGAGTCTGACAGCTGCTTCTGCAGCGTGGGCGCTGGCCCTGTACCTGGGAGGCGGGTGGACTGTCTCCTTGTGTGGGTGGCAGCTAGACACCAGGGTGGACCGGAAGCGCTCCAGAGACAAGGGTGGATGTGTGGTCCACAGCCTTCGCCCTGATCGATGGAGCTGGCTGTTACCTGAGATCTTACTGCAGTGTCTTCTGCTCCGATGGCACGCCGCGTCTGAAGGCGTGGCCGCTGAGGGGGCAGCGGGGGCTGCGGGCCATCGTCTGCGTGCACGGCTTGGGTCCGGGTGCCGCACTGCTGATGTCAGGGCTGTTTCATGGCTGTCACACCACGGAAGCCAGTGCATCCCGAGGGACGTGTCCAATGTCTCTCTCTCTCTCTCTCCTCTCCTTCTAGAAGTTGCTGTTTTCCCTGGGAGGCTCTTTCCTCTATTATGCTGACCACTTTAAACTGTACAGTGGCTTCTGTGCTAACCATATTAAAGTTCAGAAGGTTCTAGAGCGAGGTGAGTTCATACCTTTTTATGGCTGTTGAAGTTTGAACCATTCATAAAGGATAACTGGGTCTGGGAAGGTGGCTCAGTGGTAGAGCGCTTGCCTCGCATGCATGAGGCCCTGGGTTCCATCCCTCAGCCCCACATAAGCAGAAAAAGCTGGAAGTGGCGCTGTGGCTCAAGTGGTAGAGCACTGGCTTGAGCTGAAGAGCTGAGGGACAGTGTCCCGGCCCAGAGTTCAGGCCCCACGACCAAAAAAACCGCACAAAAAACAAACAAAAAAAAAAAGAGTAAAGGATAAGTGGATTTAGCAGGGCGGGGCAGGTGTCGTTTTGGTGACCCGATTCTCGTCACCTCACTCCTTCCTGGGCGCGGGGACGCACATAGTGCTGTTTTGTGAACCCTCTTCTGAGCCATCTGCAAACAGCACTGTGGTGCCGGATGAGAGCCGGTGGACCCGGTGAGCGTCTCTGCCCATGCTCTCCCCTCCCCCGGCCCCGCTCTGGTCCCTCAAGGAGGCATGGCGAGGTCCTCCCACCTCTGTGTCTCGCTGTCCCCATCCACGCAGCTTTGCCTTGCCATCCCAGGAGTCCCTGGTTCAAAACATGGGGCTCCAGGGCTTCTCCCCCCCATCCATTCTAAACGGAGGTCTCAGCCCACTGTGCTCGCCTCCCACACACACCTTCTCACGGGTGGCCTACAGTGGAGAGGAACAGTGCCCCAGCTGCCCCCCTCCTGCGTCCGGCCGCGGGCAGGGCAGGGCAGGGCAGGGCAGGGCAGGGCAGGGCTGCCTCGCTGCACACTGTGCACTTTGTTCTTGGAACAGAGCCCCACAAGGGGGTCCCACCTTCACGTCCTGTTCATCCACACCTCTGGCCAAGCAGTGGCGCTGTGGGGTTCAAAGTGGCAGCTGCCGAGTCCCCGCGTGGTATGGGACATCCAACATGCACCTGAATGCCTGCGGGCCCTTGGCACTGCCAGGGTCGTAACCCCTCTGACGGAAGGTTCAGTCTGGGCAGGCTGTGGAGGCAAAGGTGACACCTTACAGCGTCCTCAAAGGAGGCCCCTGCAGAGATGGACTAAGCAGCCAGCAGTGCTAGGCCAGTGGAGCAACGCCATTTTCCTAGAGGGGTCTCTGTAGGGCATGGCACAGCGCGTGGATCGCACTGATTGCCAGCTTTACCATTTGTGTGAAGCGCTCTGTGGCCGCGTGTGTGGCGGGAGGCGCTGCCCTGGGACTTGGGTCTCCTGGGGTCGGCGCTGCGCTCTCCGCATCCCTCCCTCACAGGATTCCGAGCCGTGACACTGTGTCCCCCATTAATAACCAGGTACCCACTGTTGTGCTGGGAATTTTATTATAGGACAGCATTAGGAGGTCCATAAACATGATGACATAAAACTCCAGTAACCTGGGCACTAGTGGCTCACGCCTGTAATCCTAGCTACTCAGGAGGCTGAGATCTGAGGATCGTGGTTCAAAGCCAGACCAGGCAGGGAAGACTCTTCTATCTAATTAATCACAGAAAGAGCCTGAAGTGGCGCTGTGGCTCAAATGGTAGAGTGCTACCCTTGAGCAAAAAGGAACTTAAGAGACAGTGCCTAGGCCCAGAGTTGAAGGCCCAGGCCTGGCAAAAAAACCCCACAACAAAACAATAAAAGCCCCAATCTGTATTAAAAAATGAACGAAGCACTGTAGTTCGGTTCTTGTAAGGATCTTTTTTCCATTGCTTGCAGCTAAAACCGACAAGGCCTTCAAGGCTTTTCTGGATGCCCGGAACCCCACCAAGCAGCACTCCTCCACGCTGGAGTCCTACCTCATCAAGCCGGTGCAGCGGGTGCTCAAGTACCCGCTGCTGCTCAAGGAGCTCGTGTCCCTGACCGACCACGAGAGCGAGGAGCACTACCACCTGACAGGTGAGGCGGGCGGGCGGCTCTGCTCTGCCCTGACCGCTGCTCAGCGCCGCCAGGACCAGCCAGTGTCCTGTCAGTCACACTGTGATTCTCATCTCCGTGACCGCTTGGTGCGGCCGTGCCTTCGGAGCGCACAGAGGCTTCTGTGTTTCCCCAGTGAGATCTTACTAAACTCCTCTGCACAAGTGTTCCCGCCTGAACTTTCAGGAAGAGGCCATCTGTGCGCAGGCCGCTTGGCTTGTAGCTGAAAATCAGGCCTCTCCACCTCCGGGGAGGTTCACTGGTTTATGGCTCCCGGCCAAGACCGGTGAGGCGCCCTCTTGTGGAGATCTCTGAAAGCGCACAACGTTGACACCAGCGTGGCAGTGCAGGCAGAGGTGCTTCATTTGTAACCTTGGAAATGACTCCCTCCCTGAGTTTCGTTGCCAAAAGCCTGCAGCCTGCCACTTGAGAGCAGAGCATCCCTTGGAGATGCATCCCTGACCAGAGAGAAAGGATTCTATACGCCACACCAAAACGAGCAAGCCCAGTTAAGCCACCTGCCACGAAACTCCTGGGGAGATAAACAGATTGATTAACGACGCTCAGTAGCACTGAGTAATAAGCACCAAGAAGCATGTAAATTAAGCTTGCTATTTTTTTTCCATGATAAACATGCATTGGTATCATAAACAGTGAAGGTAGTTGAATTCTGTAAGAAAATGATAGGCATTGTGATTAGTACTGAGATGCTATAAAGAGCTCATTTTGCATTAAGAACTTTTCCTCCAAATCCTCCCCAGAATGAACTAAAATGTCAAAGCAGGGAATATACTAAATTAGGAGACGGCCTGCGATGCTGGCTTTTGGCTGGCTGGCGGCTTTTGTCTGTCACGTGCCCTTGTCCACAGTTAGAGCACAAGGATGGAAACAGGCGCGCTGGCTCTTAGCACATCAAAGGCATCTGTAATTCTGGTTCTAGTGCGGGGTCCTGAGAGGGGTGGAAAACAAGGTGTGTGTGTGGGTGGGGGGCAGTGTCCAGCTCATCTTGGGTTGGATTCTGCTTTTCTCCGCTGTGAAATGGCTTTGGTGGCAGTGACTGAGTTATGGCAAGGATGAGACGGTGCCACAAACCACCGCTGCTGTCCATGTTAGCTTATGCTAATGTCAGCGACAGAGAGGCTTTAAGGTAGAAGATGTTTAACTGTTATTCATGGTAATGACTGGATTGGCTGCTGCTGGTGAGAACTGGTGTTCACCTGGCTTGCGTCCCGAGTGCTCTTGTTCCTGCTGTTGGAGAAGTAGAACAAATGTGCTCTCCTGTTTTACAGAAGCACTCAAGGCAATGGAGAAAGTAGCCAGCCACATCAATGAGATGCAGAAGATCTACGAGGATTATGGGACTGTGTTTGACCAGCTGGTCGCGGAGCAGAGCGGCACAGAGAAGGAGGTGTTGTGTGGGGCTGAGCCCGGGAGGGAAGGAGGGAGGCCCGGGAGGGAAGGAGGGAGGCCCGGGGCCTGGGCAGATAGTGCGAGGGTCACTTGGATCCCATGGCAGAGGCAGAGGCCCGACAGTCCAGAGGCTGGGACTCAGGGAAGGCGGGGCTGGCCAGGGCGGGAGGGGAGCGGACTTGCACGGAGGGCCAAGGGCTTCTCCTTTTTTCATTTTTAACATCAAATATTAGTGCCCGCCTGCTTACTTAAACCAGTCCAAGTGGAATTTGGATATTTTCTATTTTGTTCAGTAACCCCCCCCCCCCCGCCCTTTTTTTTTTTTCTGTGCCAGTACTGGTTTGAATTCAGGGCCTGGGCACTAGCCCGTTTTCGCTCAAGGCTGGCTTTCTTCCACTTGAGCCACAACTCCACTTTCAGCTTTTTGGAGGTAAAGAATCTCACGGGCTTTCCTGTCCAGGCTGGCTTTGAACTTGAATCTTCAGATCTGAACTTCCTGAGTAGTTAAGATTACAGATATGAACTACGGCACCAGGCTAAATTTGGAATTTTCTGCTTTTAAATCCACCAGAAACAATACAGTTTAAATAGAAATGTGGCAAGAACAGGAAGAAGCAGAGTTTAATTTTTCATAATGACCATCTGCAGTTAGTGCTTTGTTCTTAGGAGGCTTCATGTGGTTTGGGGCTAGAGGTGGCAAGCCTGAAGGCTTGCAGCAAGCCTGGATACAGTGCTAGGATTAATGTCATGGAAATGGAAGTCGCTCAAGAGCACGCCTCACCTGGGCAAGTGTGTACAGGGGCAAGGCCCTCAGCTCCCTATTACTTCTCCAACACTTGGATGCTTGGCTTAGATGTAGGAAGCCTCCATATTTAATGTCTCACGTTGACAAGAGTGGTAAAAACCAAAGAGAATGTACTTGCATTTTATCAAAGACTGTGTGTGTATGTATACACACGCACATATACAACTTATCTATACATACATACGTGTACACACACATGGATTCATGGATGGATCCGTCCACAGACAGATGGATAGATAGAATTTGTTTCTATCATGAAACTCCACCTCTGGGGTTTCTACATCTTGTTTGCGTCCTGTCTTTACAATCTAGGTAACAGAACTTTCCATGGGGGAACTTCTGATGCACTCTACAGTTTCGTGGTTGAATCCATTTCTGTCTCTAGGAAAAGCCAGAAAGGACCTTGAACTCACAGTATTTGGTTAGTATTCCATTCTGTTCCGTTCCATTCCATTCCATAAACTTAAAAATTGATGAGCCATGGTAGAAGAACTCCCCCGCTGCAGCCGTGCCCCAATTTTCAGGAGTTAGAACATTCACTGTGGTGGCTCCACACAGCCAGCCTCCAGCTAGTTAAACTCATCATCTGCTCTCTTCTGCTGCTGAGGCCAAGAGTTACGGGCACAGATCTCCACAGGCAATTTCAAAACCTGCTATCTTAAGACTCCGCTGTATTTCAACATCTCTGAACTGTCACTGGGAGCTGGGAGAGCAAGTGCAAATAGCTACGTATTGTCTCTGAGGTGAACTTGCGTCCTCAGCTTCCGCAAGTGAAGAATGGAGGAATGCTGGGTCCCACTTCAGATAATGGCTTTTAAACAAGCAGAAGGTGGAGCTGCTACTCACGCAGTGTTGGCAAAGTGGGACCTTTCCAGGGTCATAAACTTGAAGAGCTTTGTTCAAGTAAAACATTCAGCTTTACTTTTAGCCTTGGAAAAGAGTTTGTATGAAATAATAAAAGGCTTTTCTCTTTTCTTTAGTTTTTAAGAGAGCTGTCATACTGGTCTATAAAGAAAACTGCAAACTGAAAAAGAAATTGGTAAGACACAAATTACATTTAATTAAAGCTACCTTTTCACGCCCTGTCTCCCTGTACCGTAACTCAAAAGTGCGCTCGGCGCCATGGCCTGACTGTGGTGCTTCTTCGGAGGGAGCCAATGAGTCACGTATTTCAAGTCGCCTCATAAAAGGAGAGGGAAGCCATGGATGGCTTTGTGTCATTCTTGCTTAGACCCCCAGACTCCTGTGATGCCCACCTCTGTTCAGGAGCTGCCCTGGGAGAGCTTGAGGCTTCTGTTCCCTATGCTCACCTTCAGCCCTGGCTGACAGCTTCCTTAACCCTTTTCCTGCTGGACTTTGTCTTTGCAGCCCTCAAATTCCCGACCTGCGCATAGCTCTGCTGACTTGGACCCGTTTAAATTCCGCTGGCTGATCCCTATATCTGCTCTTCAAGTCAGACTGGGGAACACAGCAGGTAACAGCTTTGTTGTTTTGGTAGTGCGTGCATGCCAGAGTAAGTGTCTTAGGAGACCTGATTGGGGCGTGAAGAGGTTGGAAGGGGTTGGCGTGTTAGTCAGCGCTCATCTCTCTTACAAAGCATCTAGGTGACCACCATTGAAGGAAGAAAGACTGGCTCACAGTTGCAAAGCAGTCCTTTCAAGTGGTCTTAACCAGAGTATTTTAGTACAATTATAATTTTTTCTTGTTTCCATTTCCTTTGATGCAGGAACAGAAAATAACTCCATATGGGAGCTGATCCATACAAAGTCAGAAAGAGAAGGCCGGCCAGAAACAATCTTTCAACTGTGTTGCAGGTATCCTGACTTCCAAAAAATAAAACCAATGCCTTTACAAAAGGCAACTGTGAGTCTAGTAGAAGACGACAGTGGTCAGCTGTTTATATTTCAATCTTAGAACGATCAGCTCTCACCACCTTTTGTCAGCCAGGCAAGCCAGTCCAGGTGCGTGGCTTGCTGTGGATCTAGCCTGAGGGTGCAGGGAAGTGCTGGTCAGGACTGGGCCTCAGGAACAATCCCAGGGCCAAGAATGAAGCCAGCCAGACCCTCTGCACACTTCACTGCTTATTCTCTACCCCCAGTGACAGTGAGAGCAAAACCAGCATCGTGAAGGTGATTCGGTCGATTCTGAGGGAGAATTTCAGGCGTCACATCAAGTGTGAGTTACCGCTGGAGAAGACATGTAAGGATCGCCTGGTACCTCTGAAGAACAGAGTTCCCGTTTCAGCCAAACTAGGTGAGAATTCTGCTAGCTCGGAGCTCAAGAAAAGATTCCCTCAGAAGATAGGTGTTCTTGGAATACAGCTGTAAGTTACTTTGTCAGACCTCCTTCTAGAGACCTAAGCAATGCCCCTTGCTCACAGATATCCTTTGAGAAGAACACGTCCACCTCCCTTGTCTGATGCCAGCCGGCCAGGTCCAGTCTCACTAGCCTGTCTTTCCTCCGCTGAGATAAGTGTGAGCCAGGGGCTCTGTTCGGCTCACTGTAGCTCCTACACTTCCTAGAACTAGGCATCTACACAGTGAATTCTTAATGAGTTGAGGTCAAGAAATTAGTATTTCATTCTTACCACTCAATAAGTGGGCAGGTAATCCATTCCAGATAACACTGTTCTTAAACAATGAGTGTTTCTAAAAATTGAAAGTGTTTCTAGAACCTTCTGACTTAGCTGTTTTACAAAATGCATAACTTCACTTTTTGTTCCTCATCAGTCTGATGTGGACTTACTGTAAACTTCCTATTTTTCTCCAATGTCAGAATATGCTATGGCCACCAAAACCTAAATGCTCTGTTGCCTGCCTATGGAAACATTCAAACTAAGCCCCCTTTCCCCAAGAGAACAAAATTAAACCCACAAATGATTAAGTACACATAATACTCAAAGTACAAATGGCTAGAAATGTCAGCAGAGACAACTCTAATGAGATAGGGAACTTTTAGTTGAGCTGCAAAGGAAGTAAAGGAAAAAATACACTCAGAGATGTAGTATCATCTTGATTATGAGATCACAAAGTACTTCAGTACAAGTGCAAAACCTAGGTTTCATTAGTGATTAGATTTTCAAGGCAGTCATTGGCAAAAATAAGAATTCTAGCCCTTAGTGTAATTGACAGCTTATTGTTCTACTTAAATAATGAAGCTCTGGTCACCTAAAACTGCTGAAGTCCTCCAACTTACAATTTCTTTTTTCTTTCTTACTTTTTTGTCCAAGTCTGGGACTTGAACTCAGTGTCTGATACTTTTGCTCACTGGCTTGTGCTCTGCCACCTGAGCCATCACTCCAAGCCCTCAACTTACAATTTCAAATAAACACAAGTAAAACTTCCATGCTTGCGGGATCTCTGTTTTTTGTCTAACTGCAGGCTAAAGGTAACGGAGGTCAGATAATAAGAGAACCTCAGTGGTAATTAAGCCGTCTCTACCTGTGCACTGCTTCTGTCTCTGCAGCCTCGTCCAGGTCTTTGAAAGGCCTCAGGACGTCCTCCGGCAGTGAGTGGCCCAGTGAGCCCAGCAAGGGCCACTCGCTGGACTCCGACGAGGGCAGCCTGAGCAGCGGCACCCAGAGCAGCGGCTGCCCGGTGGCCGACAGCAGGCAAGACTGCAAGAGCCCGGCGCCCGAGAGGGAGCCCCACAGCCTGGCCGAGCTCCCCGATGGGCTCATCAAGGAGAGTGACATTCTGAGCGACGAGGACGAGGACTCCCACCACTCTCTGAGAGAAGGCAGCCCCACCAAGGACATCGAGATCCAGTTCCAGAGACTGAGGATCTCTGAGGAGGACGACACACAGCCGGCAGGGCCGCAGCCCGTCACCGGCGCGGGCGCGGGCCAGCAGGGAGGGGAGCAGCCCAAGCTGGTCCGGGCCCACTTCTGCCCCATTAAACGGAAGGCAAACAGCACCAGGAGGGACAGAGGGCCGCTGCTGAAGGCACAGACGCGCCACCAGTCTCTTGACAGTCAACCTGAAAGCGCCAACATGGATCTAAATCTGGTTTTAGAGAGAGAATTCAGTGTCCAGAGTTTAACTTCGGTTGTGAACGAGGAGTGTTTTTATGAAGCACAGAGCCAGGGCTCCTCATAGTCCAGCACCTGAGGCGGCCGCGCGGCTCACTGACGTCCAAACTGGTGGCAAAGTGGAAATTGCAGAAAAATGACATTATTGGATTTTGTGCAGTACACCTTTCCCCACAAAATCACTGTAAAGATTTAAGTTATTTTAATTTATTGTGGATCAGAAAACTAGATTAAACTGGTCAGATTCTGTAAATTACTTAGCTTATATCCCTTTTGAGCAGGTATCAAAATGATTTAGAATCCTTAAAATTTGCGTTATAATTATTATAAGTTATGTGGCAAAGGTAAAGTTGGGAAAGTTGTGATGAACTGCTTTTCAAGGGTCACTTTTTCCAATCCTCTGGGCATTTTCATGGAGCTGTTCAGATTTTGCTTTATTTAAAGCATATTTAAGTTATTTTAATGTGGTTTAGGGGCACAATGTGCAGATATCTCATTGGAAGTTGTAACAGATGCTGTTTATACTAAACGTGTCATACCTATGCAGTATATATTAAAAGAAAGCTTGTACCGTACCTTACTTGATACTTATTTTCTCTACCAAGCTGTATAGTAAAAGGAACGTAAGTCATCTGGTCACTGGTATTTATTATCATTCTGTAGACAGAAAACCCCCCTGTACAATGCTCCATACTAGGAATCAGTGTGTCAGGGAGCAGCTAGCATCTGTAACTCTCCTCCTCCTCCTCTTTCTCCACAATTTTTCGTTTCTTTTGCCTAAGTTCTTCTCTGAAATTGTAAGCAAAGAGCTGAGGGTCTTCATCGCACATCCTTCTGTATATGTCACAGAGGCTCTTAAAGTGCAAGACTGAGAGCTGGGTGGGCCGGAGAGTCGGGTCTATGTCCGCCTGCTGTAGCAGCCTTCCAGTGCTTTCCAGGCGCTGAGCTTCAGGGAATAACATTCTGAGGAATTGAAAAAAAAAAAAAATCAGGACAACCACAATGCCCTGTCACTTCCTTGAAAATGACAGGGTTCCAGTGACAGGGTTCCAGGTAACTGATACCCCGAGGGCGTGGCCGAGGCCCACTGAAGCCTCCCGGGGGCCCCGGGCACCCGAACGACCTACAGCAGGCAGATCTCACGTGCCCTGTAAGGATCCACACAAGGAAGAATTTTTCCAAGGCTAAATCAAGACACCTTTAAGGGGTGATGTCTGCTCAGCTGCATGGTGTTCATTTGCTTGTATGCTGATAGAAGTTGTCTATATTACTTTTTTTTTTTTTTGTCAGTCATGGGGCCTAAACTCTGGGCCTGGGCGCTGTCCCTCAGCTCTTCAGCTCAAGGTGAGCGCTCTACCACTAGTGCCACAGCGCCACTTCCAGCTTTTTATGCTTATGTGGTGCTGGGGAATTGAACCCAGGGCCTCATGCATGTGAGGCAAGCACTCTACCACTGAGCCACCTTCCCAGCCCCTACGTTACTTCTCAAGGGACAGAAATTTCTCTGTCTGCTCTGTAATTTCAATGTGTCCATCTTTAGATACAATATTCACTCTTTTAGGGTGACCTGTTTTCCAAAGTTACACAATTGCTGAAATTTTGTTTTTCTTTTGGTGCCGGTACTGGGCTTGACCTCAGGGTCTGAGTGCTGTTCCTCTGCATTTTCCACTCAAGGCCGGCACTCTGCCTCTGCATCTCCACTTCTGGCCTTTTGTTGGTTAACTGGAGATGAGTCTCTCAGATTTGTCTGCCCAGACTGGCTCAAAACTATGATCCTTAGATCTCAGCCTCCTGAGTAGCAAGGATTACAGGGGTAAGCCACTGGCACCCGGCTTGAAGATAGTTTTGAAACATCTATAAAAGTGGTTTGAAGTATGCCCTTTACATTGCACCTACCGGAACTATTTTCAAACACTGGACTGCCAGAACCACTGTAACGTCCACCTGGACTTTGTGCTCTCTCCCCTCAGCCTCTGCAGGGCTAGCTGAAAGGCAGCATGGCAGGCATGGCAGCTCTGGGGTTTTCTTCCCGGGTGGTGGTGCTCCCATGCCCCCCTACTTTCAGAGTACACGGTCCACTTCTGTGGCAAAGAGGATCTGGTGATGGTTATTACCTGGGATCCATTTCACCTTGGACTCGGCCTACGTTTTGGTTTTGTTTGGTCACAGGTACAATCTAAAATGGACATCTACACTGCCAGCGCTGACCTGGACTGGAGAGGCTGTGAGCTCGCCATCAGCGCTTGCGCAGGTATGAGTGGGTTTCGTGGTGTTTGTATCAAGTTGCCCTCTGTCTAAGGACATGCTTGAGAACCAGGAAGCAAATCCAACTTTTGGGCAACCAAACTCTGCGACAGAGGAACCCTGCAAGCACACGTGCGCTTGGTGGCGTGCCTCTGTGCCTGCCTGCTGCTGCACGCGGGGACCTCAGCGCCCCGGAGAACCGACCGGCCCTGTGGTCGCCATACGGCGGTTACCACCGGTAAGCTTGGAGAACCTCCAGTGAGGCCCCACTTCCAGGTGTGCACACGGAGATCCCCACCTGCTGCAGTGGGCACTGAGCCACACCGAGGACTCAGCTTGGTAGACACAGATTTGTCATTTCTAAGGCTTCTGGACACAGTTACTTTTCTTTCAGTTCTAAGTCTTTATGATATCTGTGCCCTTTAGCACAAGGGCAGAGACCTTTTTTTCTACCAAGAGCCATTTGGATATTTATAAACAAAATTCTCCAGACATACAGAGTTATTAATACAGGCAGACAGCCTGGACCGCCAACAACACTGCAGCCCTGCTCAGCACCTGAAACCGCTGGCATATGGACAGACGCTGGCTGTCGTGAGACCATGATGGTCCATAGGCCAGATTCTTCCTGATGATTTCAGCTGCAGGATGGCAACTCTCATACACCACGGGTTGACTTTCATGTGAAAGCATAACTCATGTAACTGTAATAGCCCTGATCCATGGGGGAAATCATAGAAAGTGCGTCCTACTTTTAGAAATCCTGGAATAAACTGGTCTGGGCCTAGAGCTTGCTGGAGCGTGTCTAGAGCAAAGGTCTGGGCCTGGAGCTTGCTGGAATGTGTCTAGAGCAGTGGTCTGGGACTAGGGCTTGCTGGAGCATGTCTACAGCAATGGTCTGGGCCTGGAGCTTGCTGGAGCATGTCTAGAGCAATGGTCTGGGCCTGAGCTTGCTGGAATGTGTCTAGAGCAATGGTCTGGGCCTAGAGCTTACTGGAGCATGTTTAGAGCAATGGTCTGGGCCTAGAGCTTGTTGGAACGTGTCTAGAGCAGTGGTCTGGGCCTAGAGTTTGCTGGAATATGTCTAGAGCAGTGGTCTGGGCCTAGAGCTTGCTGGAGCATGTCTAGAGCAATGGTCTGGGCCTGAGCTTGCTGGAATGTGTTTAGAGCAATGGTCTGGGCCTAGAGCTTACTGGAGCATGTTTAGAGCAATGGTCTGGGCCTAGAGCTTGCTGGAATGTGTCTAGAGCAGTGGTCTGGGCCTAGAGCTTGCTGGAATGTGTCTAGAGCAGTGGTCTGGGCCGGGAGCTTGCTGGAATGTATCTAGAGCAGTGGTCTGGGCCTAGAGCTTGCTGGAGCATGTCTAGAGCAGTGGTATGGGCCTAGAGCTTGCTAGAATGTGTCTAGACCAATGGTCTGGGCCTGGAGCTTGCTGGAGCGTATTTAGAGCAATGGTCTGGGCCTGGAGCTTGCTGGAGCGTGTTTAGAGCAATGGTCTGGGCCTAGAGCTTGCTGGAATGTGTCTAGAGCAGTGGTCTGGGCCTAGAGCTTGCTGGAGCGTGTTTAGAGCAATGGTCTGGGCCTGGAGCTTGCTGGAATGTGTCTAGAGCAATGGTCTGGGCTGGAGCTTGCTGGAGCATGTCTAGAGTAAGGGCCCAGGTGAGTAATGGGCTCCATTCATTTCAGTAACCACCTTCAGTACAGACAGGGCTCAAAAACTGTAAATGAAGAAAGAAACAAAGTGCAGGTCATCCTGTGCAACTGTCAGTTTCAGGTTGTACCTGGGATCAAACAGCCCTTTGTGGTGACCGAATTTTGCTTATCAGTGGATCAAACTAAGCACCAATCACATGTGCCTTTAAGAGAGTCAAAAAGCAAGAAAGAGCAGAGAGATTCTTACCCGAGTCCTCGATAACAGTATTTCCTTCGGAACTGAAACACATTCTTAACAACCTTTTCCACCATCTTGAAAGGCTGCTGAATCTTGGGCTGGATCAAGGGTGTGAAGTGCACCACTCCCACGTCTACCTTGATGGCAAGCAAACATGAGTCACTGGGTGGCCCAAGACCCTGACGAAGCAATTCACCTCTGAGAATTCCTCTGACAACTGCAGGGGCGCAAGGTTCCCAGAGCAGTGTCGTACGCAAATCTTTCCCCGTCTACTTCCTCTTTGGCTACGCAAGACACTACCTTTGGATTGAATGACTCAGAAATGCCTGCCAACTCCATTGCTTCTATACTGACACCCACCAGACCTAACGATCACTTAATTTTTTTTTGCAATGGTATAATATATATTGAAATGATTTTAAGACAGGAAGATTAAAGAATAAATTTACAAACACTTCCTTTTGGAATAGAGTTGAGATGGCTGAGGGTACCATAAGATTTCAACTTTTTATTATTGCATTAAAAGTTGCAATGTTTGTATTTTGTAAGCATTGAGACTATGCTCATGTGTTACTTTATGATCCAGAGTTTTAAACATTAAAAACTAAGTGTACGCATGTGCGATCACTTAATTTTAACATACAGTCTTACAATGGCTTTTTAAAATTCCATCCAAGGGCTCGGAAGGTGGCTCATTGGTAGAGTGCTTGCCTTGCATGCACGAGGCCCTGGGGTTCAATTCCTCAGTACCACAGAAGTAAAAAAAGCCGTTAGTGGCGCTGTGGCTCAAGTGGTAGAGCGCTAGCCTTGAGCTGAAGAGCTGAGGGACAGCGCCCAGGCCCAGAGTTCAGGCCCCACGACTGACAACAACAAAAAAATTCCATCCAAAGCATTAAAGCTAACAGGTAAATAATAGACAATATCAGGACAGTTCTATTAGTGAAAAGTAAGCGGTGGTGGCAGGTCTGCTGTAAGGTGGGGCTTCAGTGGAGGCAGACGGTGCCCAGAAACCCCTGGTGCTGAACTCCCCAGGAAGGGAATCATTAGGATACTGACGATTTGGGGTACAGACACTGATATGCAGCAGGGCTGGTCATGTGCACAGTTCACAAAGCACCAAGACTTTCCCATGGCATCCCCAGGAGGCCCAGGCAGGATCAAAACAAAAGGGAAGCTACCAAAAATGTTCATGTTTGACAGATTTTAAGCTGTTCCTAGCTGTTGAGAGTCTTTAATACAAGAAAAAACTGTTCAGGCATATCTATCTAGTTAGAGATTTACATTCTTCCTTATTCCACAAGTACATTCTTAGAATGTATGCATTATGAATGTGTTTATAATGAATATATTCTTGAGAAGCACAAGAGAAAATACTGAAAGATGAGAGAAACTGAGTCAGAACAGTTACAAGGTGCATGCACACAGGCTGACAGAGACCTTGGCCAAAGCCGATGTCTGCAGGGATTCCTGGACTCACGCATGCTCCCTCAAGGCTGACAGAGACACAGTGATCCCACTGTACAGACTCCCCAAAGGCTGACGGAGACACAGTGATCACACCGTACAGACTCCCCAAAGGCTGACCGAGACACAGTGATCACACTGTACAGACTCCCCAAAGGCTGACGGAGACACAGTGATCACACTGTACAGACTCCCCAAAGGCTGACGGAGACAGTGATCACACTGTACAGACTCCCCAAAGGCTGACGGAGACAGTGATCACACTGTACAGACTCCCCAAAGGCTGACGGAGACACAGTGATCACACTGTACAGACTCCCCAAAGGCTGACAGAGACAGTGATCACACTGTACAGACTCCCCAAAGGCTGACGGAGACACAGTGATCCCACTGTACAGACTCCCCAAAGGCTGACGGAGACACAGTGATCACACTGTACAGACTCCCCAAAGGCTGACGGAGACAGTGATCACACCGTACAGACTCCCCAAAGGCTGACGGAGACAGTGATCACACCGTACAGACTCCCCAAAGGCTGACGGACACAGTGATCACACCGTACAGACTCCCCAAAGGCTGACGGACACAGTGATCACACCGTACAGACTCCCCAAAGGCTGACGGACACAGTGATCCCACTGTACAGACTCCCCAAAGGCTGACGGAGACAGTGATCACACCGTACAGACTCCCCAAAGGCTGACGGACACACAGTGATCACACTGCTAGCTGGACTGCTCCTTTTCAAAATCCTTGAAGCTACGTAACTCCTTAAAAATGGGGTGTGCCAGACGGTGATGGGAGAACTCTTTGTGTTAAGAGTGGAGGGATTCTAGATGTGAAGTGCAGATGTGTCAGCTGCAGCCACGTTGGCAGGCCGCGTTTGCACGTGGGTCTGCTGCCCGCTGGCCTTCTCTGTGAATCCACTCATCTCATCCTCAAACGTTTCTCCTTCTCCACAGCTACTCCAACCGGGGGCAAGGGCAGCTCTTTGGCAGCAGGGGTGGTGTGGGCTGGCAGGAGCTGAACTGCCATGGCGAGGTCTCTCTCAGCCTCTAACTGTCATCGGCCTGCAGACCGTTTCAGTGACGGTGGACCAGCAGGCGTGACAGCCATTAAGAGCAGTGTTATTTTCAAATTGAATAATTTTTTTCAATTGTGCTCTTATAACCATTTTCTTACTTTAGTGGCAGGAACACCCTGTAGGACTTTACAAGACTCTCAATTGTGTCCAAAGGTCTGGAGGTGTACAGTCACAGGAAAGAGAAGCTAAGGACTGTGGAGGTGAATCAGGGGCTTCCTTCTTCTCTCCCGGCCCCTGGCTCTGGGCTGAGCACTTCTGAGGAAGGAAGGAGATGACCCATGCGTGGGGTCAGGGGGCGCAGCAGCCAAGATAGACCACAATGGTCAAAAAAGCATTTGACTTCCCACAAACTGACACACCGCCTTTACCTTTCATCTTGACTTGAGATGTCTGGGAAGGTTCTAGAGACTTCTCTAGCCTTCTATGGCCAATAATCAGTGCTCTCTAGCTTTTCTGTCTATATTTCTCACCCTGCTACCCTGCGACTCATCCCCTCCAACCATGCCATCCAATTCTCGCAAATCACGCAGTTGCTTCTAACCGCTGTGCAGTCACTCAGAGTGACCCAACACCCTGCTGGTCTCCAGGGAAAACCACGCAGCAAAACTCAGCCTGGGATCTAATGCGGCCCCACTTGACTGCATACTGCATAATGTGCAAATTCGGATGAGACCAGTGTCCAGAAGTAGACACGTTTTGTCCTTCCTGAACAGAAACTGCCACTTCCGGCTTCTCTGGATCTTAAAAGTTGGCCTCATCCTTATTTGCTTGATTTCATTTCTTTGAGATAGAACTGGGGCTAATAAATACAGAAAATATCCCATGTTTGCTTACACTTAAAAAAATACTACAGAAATATAACAGCAGATCATGTAAATTAGACTTCCAGAAATTGTATACAAGCTGACATCCAGCTAAAAAAATTCTCAGCTGAAAGAAAATTCCCACTCGCAAACACAGGGAATACAGTGGAGGACTCTAAAGCTCAGATGCAAAACCCAGCCAGCTGTCTCCTCCTTGTGGGGGAGGGGGGAGGGAGGGCTCTTCTCTCCATCCCTTCCTCTGCTTTCCCACAACAACAATGCTTAGTATTACTCCGAATCATGGAGACACTATCTGTAGAACCACAGGAAGGCTGTGTGTAGCTATGGTAACAAATACAAAATGCTTTTTACTTATAATTGAGTACTTATTTAATATGACAACCATGATTCTTTCTTGAGTTTCTAGTCTATTAGAGGTTTAAGTTATAAAAAAGAAATCAGCTGGAGCAACTAGATGCTCTAGCTAATACTTTATTTTTATGTTTCACAGACATTATTATTATGACCTACTAATACTTTGAATTAAAATATTTATGATGAATTAAAATGTTTCCTTCTAACTCATTATAACGTCAATAGTATCAGCACCAAGTTGATGCAGACCCGAAACTGGAGTAATAAGCTTTTAAATCCCAAATCGTAAAATAGTACAACCCAAATCCCTAGTGAATGATATCTGGAGGCAATGAAATGTAACACGGCCCAGATCCTGACGGGCATACCATGCTGAGAATCAGCCACCACCACCACATGGAAACACACAGTAACAAAGCAGACTGTGGTCTTAAGAAAGGGTCTCCACTGAACCCGCCCATGGGGTTCCAGACTATTAATGGACCAGGCTGGAGGGAGGGTGAAGAACCAGGAAGTTGTCCATCGGCTGGGGCACTGCCATGAGCAGGAGGACAAGGGCTGGTGAGGGAACAGCACTGCGAGCCCCGGGATCAGCAGCGCCATGGGGCAGGCTGACAGTCACACCTCCCTTGCTGTGGGTCTGGCCCTGTCTGTCGTTTCTTAGGGCTGTGCTATCTATCAGTGTCTGACCAGCTCTTCTGCTGCTCAGATTTCCCTTTTCCCCACATGTCCTGTTCTTCCTGTTTTTTGTTTTGTTTTGTTTTAAGACACCATCTTTTTTATGGGCGAACTGGATTCTATCTTTCACTCGAGTAACTTATAGAGGCCTGGGGGAGACTCATTGTTCTCACTGTCCTTAGTATCACCAGAATTAAATAAAAACGAAATCATCATTAAGTTCTGTAACTTGGCAAAATCACCAAGTCCATATGAACCTACTCAGGAAGACCCTGTAGTAGGTCCTGGAGCTGCGATGTGAGGCCAGCTGGGTTGGGGGTTACAGGACGGGCAGGTCAGGAAGAAGAGTAGGAATGAGGAAACCTCAGGCAGCAGGGCACCGACAAGACCCACTGACCACAACTGCAAACGTATTAACAAATCAAACCAGGTTAGGATATGCCGGCTCTCCAACATAACGCTCAGACTACAGGATGGCCAGACCACAATGAATGCATATTCATGCTGCCTATGAGCCTAAAGCAACTATACTTTCATACAACTGTCACCGTAAGACCCCAAAGAATACTAATATTTTAAAATAATGTTATGAGAAAATAAAACATAGAACATAAAAAATAAAGTAACAAGAGTAAGTGGAAATTTGACAGATAGGCAGAAACACATCTGCTTTCTGTGAAAGTCGGCAAAACTGAGATGGCTTCTTGAGACTTTCAAGGACACAAAAAGACCA